ACTCCCAACGAATGCAATACAATGGAAAACAACAACAGTTGGGTGATGCAGGTTCTGATAGGTTACTTCATCCCAAGGTTCCTACTGTTTTCACATCTTAAAACATTTCTTTCCTATCGGTTAGGATCTGATCCAGGAGAACCAATCCCCCTAACCTTCTGGGGAATAAAACAGTAAGACTACAGAGAAAGTATTTGGATTTTGTAGTCTTAGCTGAGTTGGTTTTCCAAAAGATGCTTGGGTAGTTGAAGTCTTCTATTATTACTACGTGTCCCTTTTATGCTCAAATCTCTGGATCTTTACAGAAGTGTGTACACCCTTCATATACAGTTCCACTTCCCCACCCCTTCTGCCAAGCCAATTCCTTTAAGTATACATTATAGCCTTCACTCTTTGTACTCCATTTTTGGTGTCATCCAACCAAATTTCAGTAATGCCTACTAAGTCATATTCACCTTCCTGAATTAAGATTTCTAGTTCCTCCTATTTGTTCCCTGTGCATTTGTTTAGAGACACTGAAAACCTTACATCTTATAACAATCTGTTCTTTCCCGTATTGCTCATTTTTGGGTGCCTCCAAGTCCCAAGTATGCTTCCCAGTCCCAATACTTGGGACCAATATTTATTTTCTGGGCTTTCTTCTCCTTCCCCCATAGGATTTACTTTAAAACTCTTCTCCCATACTCAGATTCCTTTATTTTGGCTTTTTTCAATTTTAAACATCTTGACTCACATCTCTCTACCACTGAGAACAGGGATGAGGAACCTCCAGTTCACAAGGCTAATCTGTCCCATTGGGTGACCCATTCAGCCTATGGGGCTTTAAGTGAGATTTCCTCCACTCCCAAAAATTCCTCCCTGGTAGCATGAGCCACATTGGCACCCTTGCCCATCACTTTGCCTGGTTGTATAGGGTAGCCGAAGGTGGAAACAGATAGTCTTGTGAGTACAGATGGTCCTCGGTTAATGGAACTTGTTCAGTGACTGTTCAAACTTACAATGGTGCTGAATGAGTGGTACTGATGACTGGTCCTTGAAGTTCCGGCCATTGCAGTGTCCCCCTGGTTACATGATGGCGATCCGGGTGCTCAGCAACTGGCCTGGATTTCTGACCGTCACAAAGTCCCATGGTCATGTGATCGTGATTTGCAACCTTCCATGCCAGCTTCCCAAAAGCAAAGTCAATGGGGAAGCTGGCAGGAAGTTGGAAGTCATGGTCACATGAGGTCCTCACTTAACGACCTCCAGTGATTGCTTAATGACGGTCACTGGGGACTGCCATCACTAAGCAGCGCAGTCACATGACATCACACTTTAGACCACATTGCTTACCAATGGAAATTTCTGTCCCAGTTACGGTCGTTAAGCAAGGACTACCTGTATTCCTTTTGTATCACCTGCAGCCATAATACCATTTTCCTGCATTACCCTGGGTGGTTAGAGATATATGTGAATAATGTGGAGAGAACAGAATTGACTGGGATGCTGTAGAGGAAGAAATAACTTAGTAGGCTTCATATGAGCCTTTCTAGTCAGTTTCTGACAGAATTATCTATCCACACAGGACACACAGATGAACTAGGAATTCCAGCATATGAAAGAGATTGTCTACTGTATATCTGTATGAATCACTGTTCTGAATCTGCCAGGGAGTAGCAGTGAGTTTGGGAGAGGAGTGGAAGATGGAGAGGAGCTGCTGTATCTCCTGGTATGCTACTAGTTGCTGGAGCAGTGCAGAGAAATAGCATAGGACATCCTGATCCCATTGCTATCCACGAGAGATGATGATGTCATTAGCATTGCATGCTGTCTCTGCTTCATTATAGTTTCGGAACAGTTGATGTTCACATATCAGTGTGAGCATCTGAAGAGGGCAAGATGATGAGCAAAGTAAAGCTTGACTAATGAAAAACCATGCATCCATTTTGAACACAGAGAACTAAACATCTTTCCAACTACTAGAAGTTTGGGGTTCTTGCATAGGAAAATGACTAAGATGCATTTTGAAAGGAGCAACAATGCTCCCCACCCCGGACAGAGAAAGAGGTGTCTCGGTGTTATTCAAAGTGAAAGACTGGAGGAGGGTTTCCTCTGGGGTTTCTGAAAACAGGGCTACAATGTGTTCAGTGATCCATGAAATCTAGGGCAGCTGAAGCTAGTGCATTGAAGTGGGGAGTTGCCTGCTTCATCCAATGGCGGAGGTAGTGCTTGATGGCCTGGCCTCTCAATGGGTGTTCTGTAATAAGGAGAAGGATGTGATGGAGAAGTTTTTACAACTGTGGGGAGACAAGCTTTATTAAAGAGCACAAGGCTCTAATTAGAGGTTCAGGTTGGTCAGGTCAGAAGGTATGTCTCTGCGCGTCTCACAAAAGACTAAATGAATGAGCCATCCTTCCCCACCTAAAATGGGAGAAGGAAGAGCTGGCAGTTCTTCTTAAGCAATCTAGAAGCTAAGGAGAAGAAAGAAAACAGGGAGGGGGGGAACTCTATTCTTCTGAAATAAACAACATGTAGTTTTTTCCAGAGAGCAAAATCTTTTAACATATTTAGCCAAGTTGTTAGAACTGACTGCATTTTGAACAGTGCCAGTAGTAAACATGATTCATGAAAGAAAAAGCAGTTAACATGCATGAAACTGGGCTTGCACATGACACACCCTCATTTCCACAGAATTTTTTTCCTTATGGTATGCAACACACTGAGAGGAGTGCATCTCAAGACTCTTTAAAATGGCACAGAAGGTTGTGGGAGTCACAATAAGCCACTTCTCTGGCCCATGTCCTGAAAGTTTAGATGCAGCAGAAACAGCCACAGCACATTTGTTCCCACAATACCTTGATCATCTCCACATGTGAAATGCTCCTTTCCATGAAAGGTACTGTATTCAGGAGCAGGATAGGAATGTTCAGATGCAAATATCCTGCTGGCCACTGGATGCTGGGATAGCACATTGAGATTACTTAGGTTGTCTTCCAATAACCTATGCCAGAAACTAGACGGGAGGAATGCAACTCTACTAGTTATCTTGGAAGTCTCAGCAGCTTTCAAACCATTGACCATGATATCCGCTTGGGTTGACAGAGGTGACCTTGGGGATACTGTTTGCAGGGGTTCTGGTTCCTCATGAACACATATTCAAAAGGTGATGTTGGGGCCTCCTGTTCAACATCTAAGTCGTTGACCTATGGTGTTCTGCGTGGTTCTATCTTGCATCCTATGCTTTTTAAGATTTACATGAAATTGTTGGGGGAGATCGTTTGAAATTTTGGAATGGGATGCCATCATCAAGATGATGACAGGCAGCTCTACTGCCCCCTACTTTTTAATTTCAAGGAAGCAATCAACATCCTTGAAAAATGCTTAAGTTTCATAATAGCCTGGATGAGGAAAAACAAGCTGAAATTACATCCAAACAAGACAGAAGTGCTACTAGCAAAGAGAAAACTGGACTGGGTTAAAGTAAAGTTTGTTTTCCCTAGGATTCAGAATGCTCCTTGACCCACCGCTGTCACTGGATTTGCACAAAATAGCTGTGGTAAAGAACAAATTTGCACAACTATATCTAATGGGCCACTGGTGTACCCTTCCTAAGCTACTTGACAGAATAGTTACAACTCATCTTGACAT